TTCGCATCCGCCATTTTTAGTCCTTTCCTCACTCTCTTGCTCCTGTCCCCAATCCCTTGTTCTCTCTCCACTCCGCCGTTGAGCTGAGAAAATTGAAGAGAGAACAAAGAGTGAGGAAAGGACTCAAAATGGCGGATGCGAATACCAATGGCTGCTTTCCTTTTAGGAGACACAGTCAACACACTGGACACAAATCGACACACGTCGCTTTCCATTTACAATTTTGTTCAAACTCAATCGACACACTTCGCCTCTGCTCGGGAGGAGAGTCAGAGTGTGTTTCGAGTCTGTTCAAGTGTGATTTTATGAATTAAGTGATATTAGAACGCACCCGCAAATCAATTTCCATCATTTTGTTCTGTTAATATCTGGAGATATTGAAGTGTCTCGGTACTTAAGTCGACGAATGTTAATAAAACATTATAATGGCAAGTATTATATACTTATAATTTATATTAAGAATTTGTATTAAGTATTATATACTTAATTAGTATTATAGTATTATAGTATTATAGTATTATAGTATTATAGTATTATAGTATTATAGTATTATAGTATTATAGTATTATATTATAGTATTATATTAGTATTATAGTATTATAGTATTATTATAGTATTATAGTATTATAGTATTATTAGTATTAGTATTATTAAGTATTATATTTTATATTAAGAATTTGTATAATTTATATTAAGCATTTGTAGGATTGGAAACAGAATATCATGATTTTGTTCATCATCAGTTGAAAATTCATATTCACTACTACTAGTAATGCTGCTACTGCTACTGCTGCTGCTACTACTACTGCTATTTTCCATCAGAATATTCGTTATTGCGTTCATCTTAAAGAAATAATCGGATCTCGTGTGTCTCTCTCTCTCTCTCTCCATTAAGGAAATTCAAATCTTTTAAGGTTAGATATTAAAAGTTCATACACACGATACACATATGGCGTTCCATTTAAGTGTGGCAAACTGTGTTCAAGTGTGTTATACTGTGTCGATTTGTGTCTCCTAAAAGGAAAGCAGCCTATATTATAGTGCTCTAATACAAGGTGAGCCATTCTTGTGGTTGCGCAGTAGCAGTGTGTGAATTTTGAGTAAAATTTGATTGGCTGTTCCAGTATATCAGTGTTATTATATGCAGGG